TAAAAGCAGAAGAGAGGTCATGGAAGGTTACCCTTATCTACGGTACGAAGAAGCAAAGGCAGTGCACCGCCACATTAAGTCAAGCATTATGAGGAGATGGGTGAAGATGGGGAGAGGTGAGGAGGAGGAGAGCTTGGGTGCTTATAAACAGCAAAGCAGCAGGGCCCCATAGTATGCTTTCCAGTGGGGGACACTGCGGTTCTCTTTTAGTGAGAAGGAAAGCGAGGCTGGAGGGCCAGGCAGCGATAATGGATTCTGTTGCCTCCAGAGCAGCTCTCGTGTCAGCCCTCATTCAGACCCTTACAGCTCACTGCTTCTCATTGCCCTGAATGGTGAGACGGGACAACCTGGGCTATGTCTGGCAACCCCCTTGGAGCCCTTCACCTGCACCCTGGCCACAGAGCTTATCTTGACTCGACATCACCCCAACCCCAAGGTGTCGCCACGTGCAACCTTGCGCCCATGGAAAGTTTCGTCTCACTGGCTGCGCAAAGGAGTCCCGGCACTCCCTCCCCACCACCCGTTCCATCCCCCACAGCCACCGGGGTGACGCCCAAACCAATAGCCACAGGTAAACGTGTCTCTCCCTGGGATGCAGAGTTAAATACACAATCACAGAGGTGCGACCTGGGTCCAGAATGGAAGGAACCTAGGTTCCAGGGATGACCAATCCCTCAAGAATCCCCCTGAAGGTCCTCCCTGGAGACACCCTTCCCTAGAATAGGCAAAGAGGGCTAGAAACACCCATATAAACAGCGCATCCACAAAACCCCACTGTCCCAGGCTTTCCTCCCTCAGCCCTTGCTATTTTTATCCGGAGAGCGAGGAGGGGGTTGCTAGGCAGGGCCACGCCGCTGTTTATGTCTGAAATTTGAAAAGATGCACAGTGTACTTGGGAGGAGGCGTTGCAGGGAAAGGAATTTCAGAGGAGAATTTCAAACCTGGCGAGGTGAATAGACGCCTTGTGTTCAGGCTTACGACTCTGGAAACGCTACTCAAGCCGTGGCATGAGGAGGGGCCACAGATGGGTGCAAACGGCCACGTGTGGGATTTGGGCAGATGGAGACTCGGCCGAGAGGATCAACTGATTTCAGACTGGGGGTGCCTTGGGAGGAAGTCCTCGTGCCCCGCCAATGCCACTTCCCTTCATGTCCCCACACTTACATTAGAGCAGTTTTCTTATGTCTTACCTCACCAGCTTCACTCTGTTCTTAGCGCTCTTGCAATCGGTGAGTTATTTAGTATTGATTTCCCCATGGACACACCTTTTTTGTTGGGGCTTTCAGTCACTATATCAATCCTCTGCTTCTCAATTGCATCGTAAGGTTATTTTCATCATTGTATAATCTTAGTAACACTCATGAAACTTAGGTTCTGCCTGGGGACGTCGTTCCATAAGTGCTATGTCATGACTCTCTGTAGCCTGGGCCGGCTTCAGACTCACCACGTAGTCAAGGCTGGCCTTGAACTCTTGATCACTGCCTTTGTAATCCCGATACAGGGACAACGGGTGTGTGCCACCATGCCTGGTTGGGGTTCTTCGTTCAGTCATGGGAATTAGGACATGGGAAATGTTGTCAGTAATGTGATCAAGCACAGAACAGCTGAATGACTACCGTGTCTGCCTTCTTCCCTCATCCTCAGGTGGCCTTGGCATAGCTCTGCAGGTCAGCCTGCACGTGTCTTGTGCTAAGTAAAGAGGTTCTCAGAAAGGTGGGAATGGGTGCCGAGGGGGACTTCTACCTTGGTGTGATTTTAAGTCACATCAGATCCCTAAGATCACAGTTATATCATGTTTCCTCCAGTCAGAGGGGCAGGGGTAAAAATATGGAATCTTCGTTCTATCAGCACCTATGGCTGCAAATCTCAGTGGCTCAGAAAATACCTCATCAGCAAAAGAAATTATCATGTGATAAGATAGGATTCCAGCTCTAACACAGGTTTGCCCCTTGATAGCACTCGTATCTCCTTTGCCCTAGAACCTCTTCATTGGCATTGTGCTGACTGATTTTATGTCAAGTTGAAATAGGCTAAAGTCATCAGAGAGAAGGGAGCCTTAATTCAGAAAATGCCTCCATGAGACTGGGCTATAGGGAAGCCTGTAGGGCATTTTCTTAATTAGGAATTGATGGGAAAGGGTCCAGTCCATTATGTATGGGGTCATCTGTGGGCTGGTGGTCCTGGGTTCCATAAGAAAGAAAACTGAGCAAACCAGTAAGCGGCTCCCCTCCATGGCCTCTGCATCAGTTCCTGCGCTGTTTGAGCTCCTGTGCTGACTTCCTTCAGTGATGTGGAAGTGTGAGTCACATAAACCCTTTCCTCCCCAAACTGCTTTTGGTCATAGTGTTTCATGGAAGCAGTAGGAACCCTAACTAAGACAGACCGGTATCTCTTTCCTTGACTATCGGAGGGTCTGTGAAATTTGCTCTTTATATTTCTAAGATTCATATTCTTCCCTCCTTCCCTCTTTCCCTCTCTCCCCCTCTCAATCCTTACCCTCTGTTCAACCATTTCTCTTTTAACTGCATTTTCTTCGTCTTCCATGGTGTCCCTCTATTACTCTGTTAAAATCTGGATGTATCCCCACATTCGTCGGGTAGTGTCCTCTGTTTATGTTTCAGGTTGGCTGTCTCCCCAGGCTCCAAACACACACATCTCTGCCTGTCCAATGTCTCCTACATCACCTTCCACTTCTAAAACCCACCGTATCTACAGAGAACTCACTGCCCTCTATATCACACAGATAGCCAGCAGCCACCTCTTCCAGCCACCCGGAAGCTATTCTGATCTCCCAGTCACCCAGGTTCAGAAGCTCACAGCAACCCTCCACTTCCGTCTCTTCCTCTAATTGTCCCTGCCATCACCATAGTGGTACGTGGATGCACGCTGCTCATCCTTCAGTGTGCTGATGACACACTTAAATTTTTTGGTTAGTGGTCATCTGATCTCATCTAAATTCCCAATCTTTGGCTTCTTACAGAAAGAGAACCTAGGTAGCTTCTAGTTCTACAGACAGCAAACCTGAGGTCCTGAATTGTGGCTTTCGGTGAGAGGTGGGTAGTGGGGGGCCCTTTGCGTGGGAGCCCTCACTTCTGTTTGCCTCTGGTCTGAGTGAAAGGACGGTGATGATCACTACACACGGGGCACACAGAATCTACCACAGTTCTAGGAAAAGAAACAGGATACAGTGCCTAACTTGCCCCTGGGCGTGTAGTATGTACTCAATAGATAGCTGCTACAAGCATGAGCTGGGTTTGTTGGTGAATTGCTGTTACCCCCCAGCAATCGAGAAGCTAAACCAGGAGGATCCTGGGCTACACAGTGAGACCCTGTTCAAAAGAGAGACAGGTGAGGGAGTAGGCAGGCAGGCTCGTGTTAACAAGTTGATATCCTAGGAATGAATGATAACTCCATTTAACACTGCCGTTTTCCCTTTGCATATTCTATATCTTCTCCCTTTAAAGGAATATATGGGAAAAAATCCAAATGCAGCCAATAGCAACAACTACAATAATGAGAAACTGTTAAGATGAAATAAGTGCCAAGTTTGTAAGGACAACCGATATTCGCAGATCGGTGTGTTAGTGGATCATCTTATTTATTATTCAATTTTATTTGTTATTGCTATTATAAACACAGGAGCTCATGTAGTCTATTCTGGCCTCAAACTCCTGTTCCTCCTGCTTCAGGCCCTCAAGTGCTATGATGACAGACATGAGCCACCATTCGACATTAACAGATGGTTTTTATATCACAGAGCTGCTGCCTACACTTCCTATAGGTGGAGACACACACACACACACACACACACACACACATATATATATATATATATATATATATATATATATATATATATCACTTACACTCAGGCTTTTCAGTGTATATTCTGCCTACGTGATAATATGTGAAAATTCAGTAGCAATTTTTTCAGAGTAATTCGATGTTCATTGCTGAAAGAAGATAAAAGTGTCGTGCCTGATATGACAAGGGCTGGTTGGTCAGGCCCAAGAGAATCTGATGACTAGGATACAGGAAATAACAGCACAGAATCAACTCTAGTCTAGGGTATGGGAGCCAGTCTCCTAGGATCCAGGGCAGAGGACAGAAGGGATCAGGCCCCCAAATGTCACAGGGGCTGCCTACAAAGTTGGCAACGCAGGACTACAAAACCTCCGTCCTCCTTCCCCAGACCTGCATGATGTCAGCGATGATAATGGTGGTGACAATGATGACAAAGACGATAGGGTAGTGGTGATGGTAATGCTACACAAACCAAGACAGCGGCCCCTCACTCAGCCCCTTCCTACACCTGCATTCTCAATAGTAAATACGTGGAGGAGTCATGACTAAAACACTTACGATGGTTTCCATTTGTAAATGGCAGGGTTTTGCCGAAACACCAACCTACTATGAATTCAGGGAGAAACTGCAAATTGGAGCTTCCAAAAACACCAGTTTCCCTGAACATGTCCTTCCAGGTCTGTGTCTTAAGTGACACCGAATTTTCCTGTTCCTGTGTGTCATCCTTGCACACAGACACGTGGGGACTTGGAAGTGTTTCATTAAGTTACCCCGTGTTCTTTATTCTTAGAACATTTTCCTCTTCAGTCGTCACTTGTACAGTGTGAAAGTAATAAAATAACACTTTCCAAACATGCCACTGGGGACCAGGAGGCTTCACTTCCTGGCCCGATTCTGGCCTGAGGAGGGTTTTCTGTATTATATTTCTATGACCCTTTGCCTCCAGAAAAGATGGCAAGCCCCACCTCTCCTTACAGTCAATGATTATCATTACTGTGCTCTTCTTTTTAGCTTCTTTTACAGATGCAGAAAGCAACACACACACACACACACACACACACGCACACACACACACGCACACACACGCGCGCACACACACACACACACACACACACACACACACACACCAGAGGCAAGCACTTACCGAGAGCAGTTTATAAGGGACTAGGAGAAAGGAGGGAATTGATCACACTCACCCCAAAGCCAGTCCCTTCTCCAGGTTCCGGTGCCAAGAGTCCATATCTTACTTTAATTCTCAAAAATCTCTGGGGTGCCTTCATTTACAGGCTGAAAACAAAGGTCCAGGGGGTTAAGAGAGTTGCCCAAAGTTTCTAAACAAAACAGAAATTTGTATCCTCACAGACAGGTGAGGAATTGCCCTGATCCTTAACTGCTCTGTAGCTTAAGATAGACAGGACACCTTTTTCTTGTGGCCTATGTGAAAATAGTTGGATTTCATTTTGTTTTGTTTTACGTTATTTATTTGCATATGGGTATTGTATGTTTGGGTGGTTGTGTATGGGGCTCTCTCTGTGTGTGAGAGCATGCGTAGGCCAGTGTTCAATCTTCCCTCAAGCATCATCTACCTTGTTTTTATGAGACTGGCTTTTTCACTGGCCTGGAGCTTCCCGAGTGGGAGAGGTTATCTATCCAGTGAGCTCCAGGGGTCCCCATCTCTACCTCCTAGCCCTGGAACTGCAAGTGTGCCACGTGCTTGGGTTTTATAGAGGGGTTCTGGAGATTGAGCACAGGTTCTTTCTTATGCTTGCACCCCAAACACTTTAGCCACTGAGCCGCCTTGTAGCCCCAGTAGTCTGGTTTTAATTATCTCCAAGTTTCGGTGTCAACCAAAAGGTGTGACAGTGCCCTGAAATGTGACCATCTCTGGTCACACGAGGAGGAGCTGAACGTTCAAGCTAAGAAGGAAGAGCCACCTTTGCCCCTCCCTGGCCGGTCCACACCTGTTGTCAGATGCCAGCCCTGGCAGCCTTATTTCAGAGAGACAGCCACAAGTGAGCATTGCCTAAGACCAAGGAATCCAGAAGCAACCCTCCTTTAACTGGGAGGAGAGGCATGGAGAGGTCACTGATAGCCCAGTGCAACTCACTAAGGCTGTCTGTCTGTCCTGCATACCTGGGAGAGACTGTGTTGCTCCTAAGAGCCGAACTGGACTACTTCCCGACACTGAGACAATGGACAGATACATCCATGGAATTCTGTTAGCGGCTCAGACCCACATTTAGCAAGGCACTTACATGGTGTCTCCCTGTAAGAAACAGAAGCAAGTATTCTACGGTGACACAGGTCAGCGCCCTGAGATATTGCCTGTATTCTAAGAGTCAATTTAATGGGCACTACAGGACAGCCACCAACATACATCCAGCGATATTTATCCTGTTACACTATTATGTGTACTAGCTCAGGGGTGGCCTTTGTGATCAAGCGAAGACAGTGCGGGTGACATGAGTGTGGCTCCCAAAGATAAAGAGGATGAAGAAATATTCTAGTCCTGTCCGGCCTCTACATCATTCACCATGGAAATAGTCAGCCACCAGGTCATAGGCGCACTCTCTATGGAGAAGAATCTCGGCTGCCAGCCAACAGCCAGCCCTGAGGTGCCAGCCGTGTGAGCCAGTCACCTTAGCTGTGGGTCCCGAAGCCTCTGGAAAGCTATCAGCTCACTGCAGTTGCTGACATCCAAGTGTAACCTCATGAGACAACCCAAGCCAGAAATGCCCAGCTGAGTTTCTCCCAAATTCCTGACTGTAAGACCGCGAGCAATGGTAAATGATTACTGCTGTTTTAAGCCACTAAGTACAGGGAGGTTTGCTACACCACCATAACAACTAGAACATGGAGCTGTGCCATCCTTGGAAGCCTGCCTCCAGGGTCCTGCTCTAGGCTTTGGCCCTAGGTTCTATTCTCAGTAGAGCTGGACACTGGGCGTGGTATGCTGGTGAGCTCCGTAGACGGTCTGCTACTGAGAGCAACATGTGTGTAGCAACCACACAGCACCAAGATACTGTGGAGAGGTGAGATGAATGTATGAGGGCAATCATAAACAAGAGACAAGATGAAGCCCCACCCATTCTTTATACCAGAACAAGCCGCAGGAGATGGGGGGGTGTCACAGCAGTACAGGTGGAAAAGTTTCAGGCTCAGCCTTGATGAGACTACCAGAAAGATGCCAACATGTAAGTGGCATAAATTAAAGACTGGGCTTCAGACAAAGGCATTGCACACATACACCCCTCCACACACACTGGACACATCAACAGGACTAAATTCCATTTGAAACCCCTCTTGCGTGGGCAATGCAGACTGCCTCGATGAAGATTTCTAGGAACTGCTCAAGATCTGTTGCTTGAGACAAACAAGAAAGGGTAGGAAGAATGAAGGATGCCCAGTCCAAAAGAAGGAAATGCTGGTGGAGAAAACAATGGCCTGCCATGCACAAGAGGTTCAAGAGGCACAGGCAGAGGGTGGAAATGGACCCGCTTTATTCCCTGCAGATTCCACACTGAGACAAGAGCACATAACCTGAGAGCTTCCTGGGTGCGGGAAACCACGAGAAAATGGGGCAAACCACGGGCAAGTCAGAGAGAAGAGTGCTGCCCAGCCTGTGGGGTGTCATGGACACAGCTAGCATGCTATCAGAAACAGGTGTCTCCTGAGTTCCGTCAGAGCCCTTCATCACTCTGAGCATCTCTGTCTATGGTTCCACGATGGCATGAACCGCTGAGTGATGTCATGGCAACGCCTCTGCTTCAGTTAGTGCGTGAAATACCTGGGGGGTCTTGGGGAAGTGAAGATTCTGAGTCTGAAGCTCTGGGGTGGGCCTGAGGTTCTGTGTTTCTCACAAGCTCCCTGCTGCCATGAGAGTCTGTGGACCACACATTGCGGAGAGAAGTCAGAACTTAACCAGTGACTGCCAGTGGCATCGGGTAGCTCCTCGGAAACACCGAGTGACCGCAAAGTAGTTTAGAAAATTACAAAAATATTCTAGCAGAGAACAGGCGAACAGAATCAGAAAGACTGCCCAGCAAATGGGACTTCTGTGATGAGAGGGACACGTTGTCTATGCGCCGCTCAGGACTTTCTGAAGCTGTGACTTTTGAGTCTCAGAATCCAGCCTTCAAAGAACCGGACTGAACATTATCATGGGCCGTCTGCATCCTCCAGAAGGCAGTGTGGTGTCATATCAGTCTGCCCCCACAGCTCCTTCACCGCCTGGGTGGCCTTAGCGTCTGCATGTCTTAGTGTGCACCTGGGAGCCCATGGTGCCACAAAGCATCAGGCATAGACATGTGGCTGCTGTCTCGTCACTAACACTGATAGGTGACCAGTAAACACTGTTTCCCTTCATTACAACGATGGATTATCTAATGAATATTTATCCTCGGCTTAAATTGCTCTTCATCAAGGCACCCCACAAAGTATATCATATATGATTCCACTTTGCAGACGAGGACAGTCTGTTGTCACCCAGAATGTGACATGAGAAATGCATTGGAATTTAAAAGACTGGTGTTTCCTCAAAAAGAAAAATTTTAATTTAATTAATTCATTTATGTGTGTGTGTGGTTTTTTTCTGAAACCAGGTTTCTCTATGTCACAACCTTGGCTGCCTAATCTCACGGAGATCCACCTGCCTCTGCCTCCCAAGTGCTGGGATTAAAGGCCTGCACCACCACCACTGGCTTAACAAGCACTAACTTAAAATTTTAAAAAGGAGCGCTTTTCCCCCAGCCCACTGACTTATAAGGTTCCATTCCAATCCATTCCTCTAAAGAAGGGTTACTTTGTTTATTACTATGTGGCAGTGCCTTTTGATGCTCTGAGGCTTGCTGACTGTGACCCAGAGAAGCCCGGGTGGAAAAGAAGGCAGGACGAGAATGGCCAGCTAACAGAACACCTGAGCCACAGCTCAGCTCTCAGACACTGAAGGTGGGCTGAGCAGCACAGTCTACCCCGCGCTTCACCCCCTGTACAGGGGAGAAATAGTCAGAGAAGGCCAGGGCCAGGACCCTAACACAGCTAGGCAATGAGATACCCAGACAATCCCAGCATAGTCCAGCTGGGGAAACCGAGGCACCCCTACTTCTGACCCTTCCACCAAAAAAGACTCGGACAGTTCTCTCTGTGCTGTGTAGCCTGCAAAGAATCCACTTCTTGTAGAGAGAGCTTTGCTCCACCCCGCCTGAGCCCACTGCGTTTTAGTGAGAAGCGCACCAGTTTCCTCTCAAGGCCATCAGCAATCCGAATCCCCAACCCCCAAACGTGCTGCAGTCTGACCAGCTGTTCCTGTGGCACAGAATGGTGACCTTGGTTTGAAATTAGCCCCCAACTTGATGAGCAACTCCACCACTTTCTGAGCTCTATGGGAGCATCGTTGGGAGGTGAGGGGTAGTGTTGTAGTATTTAACTCATTGGGAAATTTAGAGAAATTAAAATTGTGTGTTGCAATTAGCTCATAATGGTTATTCAAAGACTTCGGTGTTTTTTTGTTTTGTTTTGTTTTTGCTTTTTTTTAAATTCTTTTTCCAGGAAACAAATTGATTAAGGCGGTAGTAAGTTCCTGCTTGAGATGTCCTTGGTCTATGCTGAGTTTTGAAAACCCCTAGCCTTGTGCTTCTATGGCTGCCTCATCCCCCTCTCCGCCCTCCCCGGTCGTCTCGGGGAAACCCACCCCCAAAACTTTCCAGCAATGCTCCGTGAGGGTTCTTCGCAGCCCCAGAATAGGGAATCCTCCTGCGCGATCCAGCCCCTCTGGATCTCCACCAGACGCCCAGGGAACCCTTGGCCTGCCACCCTGTCCACAGGCGAGCCGGGCGCTGTCGGCACTCTGCGGGCGCAGCCCTCCTGGGCCGCCTGGACTGCGGAGCTGCCGACCGCAATGCAGACGCGGGGCCCTCCAGTGCTGCCCGCGTGGCTTTCCTCCGCGGGTCCCAGAGCTGTGGGGTCCGTGCTCCTCTCGTGCCCTGCGCTCCGGGCGGCTTCCCGAGCTGAGCGCGGTCCCCAGCCCCGGTCCAGCACGCTCTGGACGACTCTGCCTTCCCCTCCCCCTGCAGACCGGCCCCGGGGGTGGGGTTTCCCTGTGTCCTCGCCCCCTCCCACCCCCACCCCTCATGTGTGCCCACCCCTCCCCCGCCCGCCCCTATGTATGTGTCACGGCTCGCCATTCCCGCCCACCTACCTCCCCGCGGTGCCAGAGGGGGCTCACTGAGCTGAGGACACGCGCAGCACCACTCAAGGTCCCTCACTCTCTCTCCGCACCCTTGCCGGCTGGCATCTGACGCAGGTGCCAAGGGGGCTCCGGGCACCTTTCTGTGTCCCTTCCCTCTACCAACCCTGCTCCGCAACCCCAGCCAGCTAGCTGCCACTGCGGCCACCGCCCGAGGGGACCTGCGGACAAGACGCCGGAGGGAGGAGGGGTGCGTAGGGCACCCCCCCCCGCGCCAGAGCATCCCCGCTGCAGAGCAGCAAGACCCGGGGCTCGCAGCCCCCAGGAATCCCTAGCTGCCTCGCCAGCGCTACGGGACTGAAGTTTTTGGAGGAGCACGTACAACTCTTCAAGGTAAAGAAAGGTCTCCTCCTCTCCAGAGGAGCTCTGTCTCAGGGCATCTGGAAATGCTGCTGAGGCCACGCGCCTATGTGCTGGGGGTGGTGTGCCTCGGTGTCTCCCTTGGGTACGTGTGTTGGGGCTCAGGACCTGAGCTCCAGGTGCACCGAAGTTGAACAAACTCAACTGCTGCCCTGACTCAGAATGAATGGAAACACGTGGAAGGGGCTCTTGCTCTTGCGTTTACAAGTTTTAGGTCTGGGGGCGCTAAACTGAAGTGTAGACTGAGAAGCAAGTTTAAAGCCAAGGAAATGTGGATTCAAATCCCCCGCTCCCTCCCCCCTTCCTCTTGGCGCTCCAGGAGGCTTTCGTCTTCTCTTGGAGAGGCCAAGCGGCCAGGGACTCAACAAAATTATGTGGACAGCAGATCAGATAGGTAGCAGATACCTGAGCAAGGTTCAGAGAACCAGCGAGTCCCTTTGGCTTGCTACAGGGTCTTGGGACACCCAAAGCAATAGGGAGGAGCTGGGAAGAGGTTGGCAGAACCTGGGACACGGCTACTGAGGTGCTCCCAGGGCAGACCAGAGCCAAGCTCAGAAATGACTGACTGTCTCTACCAAGATGGCATTTGTCAAGATGGAAAGAGAGGAGGAGACAGGACGCGCGACTGTCCCGGGGCAACTTTTCCATGTCTGGGCTTCTCTGCAACCCTTCCAACTCCGGGGCTGGGTGGGAGTGTGACAGCGTGTCAGTTAGCTGTGGGCGTGGAGGGTTGCCTCCTTCAGGAGGAAGGATCCAGCCCAAACTTTTCGGATATGCTGCTCCCCACAGTTGGGAGCTGGGCCCTGGAGGGGGTATCCACTTGAGTTTCACGACCAAGCATTTCAGGTGGCCCGGTGGGTGTGTTGATTCTAGTTCTGTGGGCTGGCAGCCAGAAGCAACGGGAGGAAGAACCGATGTGAGTTGTCTTAAATGGTGCCTTTGCCTCTGGATGTTGCAGTGGGTCTGCAGCGTTAGACCCCGAAAAACGCCCATTGCATCTCCTCTGGGGAAGGGAATCTAGAACAGTGCAATGATTTTCTACAGGACATTGGTTTAGGGACAAAGACCAGATTAGGTTTAGATTTTTGAGGCTGAAATCAGTTTCTCAGCCTGGTTTTTTTTTTTTGTATTGTTGTTTTTTGAGTCTGTGTAGCCCTAGCTGTCCTGGAACTGGCTCTTGTAGACCAGGCTGGCCTCGAACTCAGAGATCTGCCTGCCTCTGCCTCCCAAGTGCTAGGATTAAAGGCGTGCACCACCACCTCCCGGCTTTCTCAGCCTGATTTAAGGAACCAGAAGTCTCAACACTTCCTTACCTCTGGGTTACCATGCAAGAGTTATCAAGCTGCTTTTATGTACTGGGCAGGACTAGTTAGTTAGGGGACTCTGGAGATAGGACTGTTGGTCAGCTGAGTCACCAACCCAATGGAGATTCTACTCACCTAAAGAAAATGTTACAGAATGAGTAACACTTCCACCCCCACTAAAAACATTTTAGATGAAGGAATTATCAGAGAGGGGGGATCTCTCTGAGAAATACTGGAATTCCTGAAATTGTGTTGAACTGAAATGTAAGTGTGTGGTGTTTCTAGTGCCAGGCCTGGTTTGTTCATCCATTGTGTACTATCTCCAAGTACCATTCAGAAGCCAGGCTCTGGTAGCTCAGCAGGCACCCAATAAAGAGCTGAGATGACCCACACAAAGGTCCAGTGCCCATCCATCACCCAGCAAGCACTTGGGGACTGTTTGCTGTTATTGTGCATTTTAATATTAAGTAATTGTGCTTGTCTTAAATTCTCCCATGAAGAGCATGCTTAATCATCTTTACACTGGGACTCTTTAGTGTTTGAAAACCATCATTACCCCTAGGCACTCAGGGTTCCCTGCATACCTCCCGCCATCCCCTGGCATTACTCTACCCTGGCATGAAAAGGCGACCCATGTCCCAAGCAGCAATGGGGGCTCTAAGAGAGAACTCGCCTCCTGAAATGATGGGGAAACAGATTAGGGTTCAAACCCTGCTGCTTAATGTTACATGAGTTTAAGGCCTTAGCCTACTTGAGGTTTAGTTTCCTGTCTCTAAAAGAGGCAGGGGGGGGCATGTAGAAATGGGTTTCTTCAAAGATTAAAAGGCAGAACGTGGGTGCCTTTCCAAACCCTCTACAGACATTACAAACCTTAGCTCTCCCTTACTGTGTCACACATCATAAGCTCTAAGTAGAGCCAGTTTTGAACATTCTTAGAGACTGTGTGTCTCAAGTTTTGGTGTGGATTTTTTAATGATACCTTTTGAACTGGATCCTTCCCAAGCCCTGCTGGTTGGACATTTGGGGCGCCCTGGCTGAGCCTGGCAAGGCCCATAGACTTTGGCTTGGAGTGTCATTGTGAGTCCATGACTGCCTACAAGATTTATCCAACCTCAAGCTGTAACACCAGGTTGGGGAGGGGTGGGGGCCTTAATGAAATAGTAGATAATATTATGCTGCCCATATAGTAAGGACAAGTATTATTTCTAGAAATTTTCATTTCTGTTATGTGTTTTTGAAGGCCTCTATAAGGGTGTGTGTATTCATAATATAAACGCAAATAGACATACATTTTATATTTGCATATGTTTCTTGTTGCAAATTATATAGTCCATAAAAATTTGGAAGGTATCAACTGCAGCCCAGTGTGACGGTACACTGTAATCCCAGCATTTAGAAGTCTAAAGCCAGCCTGGGCTACATAATGTGTTGGAGGCAAGCCTGAGCTACATTGTGAGATCCTTTGTCAAAAATGAAGGATGGCAAATGTAACTCAAAAACAGAAAGAAAGGGAGAGGGGGGAGACAGACACCAATAGCAATGGCGTTTCTGTCTGGGAAACTCCTGCCTCATGACTCCAGGTGGCAGGCACCAGTGAGTCCTCGCTGCAATTGTACCAATACCTGGCCAGACTGGAGGTGGCAGCTAGAGGTAGAGCCTTGTGATAGGGAAGAGACAAGTTCAGTAAAGAGAACACCCGGTGTCGGAGGGGAGCCCAGACTTTACCCCACGTCTCAAGACAGCACCGGGTATATAGGTATATAAGTATATAAAGTGCTGCCTTGAGACATGGGGTAAAGTGTAGAAACATGTCAGAGATACGAGTGTTTCTCTCTGCTGTCGGGAAGTCACACTCTGGGCTCCTGTGTCCCAGGAATGTAAGACAGTCAATGCAAAGTTTCCTTTAAGGATGGCACCCTCCCCCTTCCTGGACACTAACTAACTGGATGCCTGTTAGAAGAATCTGGAGAGGGGTGGGGGCAAGTTGGAGAGAGAATGCATGCCAGGAAAGGACCAAACCAGAGGGGAAATTTGTAGGGAAACCAGTAAAACGGTTCCTTTTTTTCAAAAGTTGAATCCAGGGCAAGAACGGAAATGGTTTAGTTTACTTTGAAAAACTCAGAGCCTCCTTGTATGTAGCTCTCTCTCTCTCTCTCTCTCTCTCTCTCTCTCTCTCTCTCTCTCTCTCTCGCTCTCGCTCTCTCACTCTCGCTCTGTGTGTGTGTGTGTCTCTCTCTCTCTTGCTCTCGCTCTCGCTCTCTCACTCTCGCTCTGTGTGTGTGTGAGTGTGTGTGTGTGTGTGTGTGTGTGTGTGTGTGTGTGTGTGTTGGAGGGCAGACTCTGTGGGCTGGCTGGGCTGTGTGAGAGGCAATGTTGCTCCTCAATGGCCTTACAGTGTATCCTAAAGAAGCTTTTTGTTAAACTTGTGAATATGTGGATTGGGGGTGTGAGGCTGGACATCACGAATTGGCTATTTGATTACCTTTGAGGCTCCCTGTTTTTCCTTTTTAAGACATCCAACCAGAAAAGGACTCATGTCTCCTAAGGGGGGGGTCCTACAGGGGTATGGGGGCTGTCTGCCTCCATAATCATTTTGACTAGAGGAGCAAGAAGAGGAAAGAGACAGGGCTAAGCTGGTCTGCAGTGCCTGGCCTGGGGGGAACCATCTTCAGCTTTCTGGTCTCTGGGTACCCCCAGACCGTGGATGCTTGGGGTCTTCAAGGACTGTAGTGATCCTCATTTAAGTGATTACCAAGGGGACTTGGGGAGGTGAAGGAATGACCCTGTGTCACCCAGGAACAGACTTTGTGTAGGAACCCGGAGCATCAGGATTTTATCTAGAACATTCCACATCCACAGCTACCATTCACTCATCACCAGTACTTGTTCCATTCTGAGCTCTGTGTGTAGCTGATACTGCCCTCTTCTTCATGGTCTAATAGGAGCAGGAGCTGTTATCAACTTGACCCTCATTTCTATAAAAGGGTGGTTCTCAACTGGGAGCTCTTCTGTTCCCCTGCCTGAACATGCCTAAAGCCATTTTCAGCTGTCACTATTTGAAGGGGGATGCTACCCCACATGCTGTAGAGAAAAGGCCAGCGAAATTGCAAACACTTTTTAGTACACAGGATGGCACCACTACCACCGCCCCCAACACACACACCTACACACACATGCAGCACAAAATCTAAAATGTCACTGGTGCCAAAGCTGAGGGGGGGAAAAAGGGCTCCAGACCTTCATTCAGTCCCTGGGTCAAGCCACACCCAGCAGAGTAAGTGTGACAACCAGAAGCTAGAGGGAGGAGCTGGTTAGCAGCCTACAGCAGGCAGCAAATGGGAAGTGAGGGGAAAGCAGGGCCTCAGTGGCAATAGAAAGACATTTCTGCATCTATGAAATGGACATGGACGTTTCTGCAACCATGAAATGGACATGGACGTTCCTGCACCCATGAAATGGACATCCAAGACAAAGCAAATAAAGAGGCTGGCACAAAGTAGACCTGCAGGAAAACCACAGCCCTTATTATCTTTGAGGCCTTTCAAGGCCCTGCTGTGGAAAGTTACAGCATCAGCAGGTGAGGACATGTGATCTCCAAGCCAAAGAAGGTTTCTGTTTGGGGCTGGTTGCCATGGCGATGTTTTCTGCTGGGGAAGGGGAGGGAGTGTG